AGCACGCTGAAATCAGCCCTGCGCTGATATGGGGGCCTGGAAGGGGCGGGGCCGGGAATCGCTGCGTCGTGCACTTTAATTCACCCGCTCACTCAACTCTTCATCGTCTCGCATCGAAGACGCAGCTGCTGCAGGAGACGTCTCATGAGGGACATTGCTCTGCGATACATCCACCAGATGAATTTTTAAAAGACACGGCGCGAGCGCTTACTACAGCCGGACCAATCAGATTCCCGGGTTTCATTAGCAGCTGATCTGCTGATTGCCATTTTGACCAAGTTTTGTCTTCTTTTCTACAAACTCTTTAAATAAAAGTAGTAGTGTGTTTATGTACATATGTATGTTGCACAATCCGACGCACAAGCAACATCTGCAAGCAACAGCAATGGACGACCTACTTTTGCTTCAAGAAACGAACTGAATGAGAGCCAGAACAGCAGTACATTCATTTTAATTTATTAATTACATAGATTTTAATGCAATTAATCACTTTTGTTTTTTTAACAATCAAAGGTCCATCCAGAACTTTTGTATTTAAGCGTTTCTGGTTTGCCCATAAATTCGACGCACAAAACTATCTGCATTAGAGCCAAAACATTAACGCAACATTTTCAGTTAATTCAGCACAAGTTAACATTTTTAGTTTTATATCATTTTTTCTTTATGCAATCTCTGTATTTTCTGGTACGCCTCTAAAACCGAAGTACAAATTAGTCTAGCCTTGATATTTGCACTAAAAACTAGACCAAAAACACATGATAAGATTTAGTGTTTTTTGCAGTGTATACACACATTTCATGTGGATTACAATGTTCTAAATTAAAGCGATTTTGGGGTTCATTTTCCATGTTCAGCGACTCATGATTCATATATTTCAAGATAATCTACGTGACTTCTCCAGCTCCCTGACAGGAAAAGCTTCACGTACTTAAATAAACCCCACTGGACACCATTTTGATTTTCATCCTGCTACAGTAATCCCGTTGCTGGACGCCACAGAGCGAACAGAAGCCTGCGGAGTGAGCTCAGGTGACTCAGTCTCTCTGACAGCGCGCGGATTGACGGATGGAAGATATTTTTGTCCTTTCGACAGGGCTTTAATCATCCGCTAGACGTGTGTCTGCAGACCTTTTGAGGTGACGAGTAGCGCTGCTTTGTCAGAGTCACCATCTTCTCCCTGGACGGCATTCACCGCGCTAACAAGGTTCTCTCTCTCTGAATCGCACCCACGGCAGCTTGGGAGCGGCCCAGGCTTCAGAATAGCTGTTTATTTCTCCAGCGGCCGATAGACTCCGTGACTGCCCCTCGCTCCCAGGCAGAGTAAATGAATCAGGTTGGCTAGCTGACACCTGCAGGTGCATCGACAACCGTGGTAATTAGAGATAACATTTAATGACTCGGAGCTAATGAAATCCATTCCTGGGCAAAGGGAAGCCAGAGTGAGCAGGAAGGAAGGAGGAAAAACACAGAAGGCTGATGGGCTCCACTTCAGACAGCACTTGTGAGCAGATGCGAGGAAAACAAGTTAGATTATCTGCTGAAAATGCATCACGTACACAGCACCTCCATTGTTTGTGTGAGTGTGGGGGTGGATTGAGGTTAACGTCACACAAGACTTACACAAGACTGCTGAGCGATAACGCAAATAATCAGGAATGAATTGATGAACTGATGCATAGTCGGTGTAAACACCTCTGCTTCAGAACCAAAAGAACCAAAACGCCAAAGGAAAGAATGGCGCAGGGACAAAATGACGAGGGCCACTTTCACTTCTTGTAAACAAACCGCTCCATGTTCATCTACGTAAACCCCTGCATGTCATATTACTTTACGTTGTAGTTTTCCAGAGTTACGCAAACAGACAAAAACTCAGGAAACTAATGTGATTAGTCGTATATTATTTTTAACTTTTATAAAAAAATTTTTTTTACCCATATTTATTAAAAATGTCACCATTTTATGACAAGTACAATCTGAGACAAATAATATGTGAAAACTGGAGATCCTCTGCTTTCTCCCACCACCCCCAGTGCTAAGTACAGAAACACAGCAGTCAGTCAGAAACAACCAATCAAGAGCCAGGAGGAGGGTCCTAGTGCCGCCAATCACCGTCGTGTACGCTGCTCAATGTGAAGAAACAATTTATCATCCCAGGAAAGCTGTTTATCTGCCATCAGCTAACCAGCGTTAGCATTTGTAGCGCGCTGTGCTGTCGTGAACCAGCTGCGATGTTTCATAGATTATCTGTGTCATACACATAATCTGTGATGATAGTTTTAACAAATATGTAAAAAAAGATATTTAGAAATGTTACACACTGCAGCTTTAAACTTTGCTTTGCACCCTCCCCTCCCTGATTGAAGCTCTGATCCATGTTAGGACCGTTGGACTGATGAAATGCAACACATTCTGAACGCCCACAAAAAACAGAATGGCACCAACCAATCAGAGCCATAAATAGAAATTTGACAATTTTCCCTGGTTTAGATCCTAACTGATCTTTTTTGCCTTTATGGTTCAAAACGAAGTAAATGAACCATTTTCAGGTATAATTGAAGTTTGTTTGACTTTAAAATAGAGCGAATAAAGGTTAGACTCACGCTTTGATGCAATAAATTAAGATAATCTTGTAATCCCTTCATTCCTCTGTTGCTGTCTTAAACATCCTGTTGCATATCTCCTGTCTTTGGGCTCAGAAGGGAAGAAGAATCACATTTACTAAAAATTGGTATCAAAGAAAAAGGGAAATTGGCCGGGCTAATCCTGATTGGTGCATCTCCATTAGATAAGTCTAAAAACCATCCTACTGGTAGATATTAATTATAGTCAGACATTTATTATATCTATTTTGAGTAACAAAGTCTAACAAAACACTGAGCTATGTGAAAAGTGGGTAGAAAACATCTCAAAAGTATGAATAAAATATGCTTTTTTTTTTTTGTTTTTACCCAGAAACGTTGGATCTGAATGGTCCAAAAGAGCAAACATACAAATTGGTGAAGGAGCAAAAACAATCAGCAGTAAATATGCTGATTATTTTTGAATCAGCAGTTGAAGTTGAAAGAGTTACGCTGCTTTATCCCAGTCATCATGGTTTTACTGTGATGTTAGTTTTGTATCTGAAATGTTTTTGTCTCCCAAGAATCAGAGGTTTTAGGAGAAGACAAATATTTAACTTCTTTACCAACCTGTTCTGCTGCTTTAGAGGTTATTACTGCTAATAACCAGTCAATTGTTATAATAAAGCTTTGTCTGGGTGCTGCTTTTCCTCTTAACTTTCCCAAGACGAGGATTAGAGAGATTTAAACATTTTTATTGTACAAGCAAACAAAATACAAAAAAAGAAAAGAAAAGGAGTTCGATTCAGCAAACAAACAGACTTTTTGCACCTGCCTTTGGGCAAATATTGACACTGAGCACGCCGCAAACGAACTCTCCGTCGTTATTTTTGTTGGAGCGGCCGCTTATCCCGGGTTTGGATTGCATTAGAGCGCTGGTAATCCCTTCCAACAAAAACCTCCCCAACTCTTTTAATCCCAACCCCAGCCTCCATAAAAATACCAGAGCTCTTTGCTCCTCGTGCACCTGGATTCTTTTACTCGACACGCATTAGCATACGGCAGGAGGGAGGAGACGGCCACGGTAGGAAGGGAAGAAAAGAAGGGATATTTAAATGCAAATGGAGGCCAGGAGAGCGGTCTATCACAGAGCAGGGAGAAAGCAGATTTTGTGAACCTTTTCCCGACTGAGGTCCTTTCATTGAAAGGGGGGTAGAGAGGGTGGCCCTCTGTTGGTTTAGGTCGCACAAAAGAGGTCTTAATCCTTTCAGGGGATCCAAATCAGTCCACAGAGGAGCACGTTCAAAAGGAAAACCTCCCTGTTCAGCGGCGGCGATTGAGCCGACAAAATAAAAAAAATCAAGCACCAAAGGGAACCCGATGCCAGAATGTGGGAAATGAGCGTGGAGGTCCGCTATCATCGGCGGTCGGTCCCATTCCAGCCACAGCGGCGGAGAGGTCGTGACCCTGGTTTCAGAGTGTCCCTCCCGGCCCTCCTGCCCTGAAACGGTGACGCCCCCACATTACGGAGGAATGTCCATTCATACGAGGCACCCCACCATTATCGGTGAGCCGGAGAAAATAGTGCTGCTTTTAACAGCAAATTAGTGACTCGATAATGAGGTCACATGTGGTGTTGGCACACTGAGACCGTAAACATATGCTTCCCCTGCCCTCGCTCTGTTCCCCGGCAGGCTCCGAAAAAAAGCCTCCGTTTCCTGCGCCGTCTGCAACAAAAGGCCGCCGACGCCACTAAATGTTAGCCGCTACACGCTAACATCAAAGACAAGTTCGTACGTTTACGGGGCCAGGCCTCGGACTCAGCATTTCATAGATGATAACTGTCAGAGCTCGGGTCAAAATGTCAACCTGCATCCCAGCTTAGCTCAGCCTGGGTTTAATTGGATTATGTGTGTGGCATCTGTTTAAAGTGACAATACAGCCTCATGAAGTAGAGATGCACAGATTGGGCTTTTTCAGGCCAATTTCTGTGATGTTTGTCTTCCCAATTCTGATTTTGACCAAATCTAACACGCAAAATAGCAAAAATGTACAGCAGGTTCACTGATGGAGGCAGTAATTTTGAATCCAATATTTAAAAATATTTGAATGCCAAGATTTTCCTGATTTTTGGACCTAAATTTGGTTTTTATTAAACTCAACAATCTTTTAAATCCACAATGTTTGGGAATGCATTGAAAGACTTCAAATGGTGACAATTTGCAGTTCTGACATATCTAATAAATAGGAAAAAGAAAACCCAGAGTTGAGAGAAATGGGCAGATTTAGATTTTTGACTGGAGCATCTCTAAAACAAGGCACACTGTCAGAAACTCTAGCCAACAACACCAGCAAGATGATGAGGATGATGATGCACCTGCAGCTCCGCAGACACATTTAATAAAAAGGAGCAAAATAACAAAAAAGAGAGAGAGTCTGTACCTTTAGCTGTTGCTGTGCTGAAAAATTTCTCTGAACTGGCATCGGAAACCTGGAAAAGACGAGAAGGAAATGAACAAAAACGTTACGTAAAGCACAGAATTATTTTTCCAGCCGCGCTCCTTCAGAGGGAACAGCAGGGATGAATCTCATTTCACATATTCCTTCTCCTATCCTTTGGCACTTAATGCAGGCAGTGACTAAAATTTCACACAGAAACACTGAACATTTGTTCAAGACGTTCATCAGTTCTTATCAAAACATCCTTAAATCTGCTTCTATTTGCCATGTAAACAGTGAGCCAACCTGCTGCAGACATCACTGTAAGCTTGTTAAGGCAGAACAGCTGCAGCCTATTGACAACTACAACATCTTTAATGTATTTGAAATGTTGTTGTACAAAATATGTGGCTTGCAGGCACTCAAATATTAAACACTTGATTCTATTGATTACTTAAAGTACCTGCAAATATGTCGGTATTTCATGTTTGGTGCATTTATTTTTCCAGTGCAATGAATCAGAAGACAAACAAAAAAATTAGTTTTCTGTTTTCTGCCTTTGTGTTCTTGTGGCAATATATTTCAAAAGATTTGTGATTTTTAAAAAATGTTTTTTTTTTGTGTTTCTATTTTATTGTTGATGACTGAAATCGGCATCAAACTAAACACATTGTCACACGCAACAAACTTCATATTATACATTTTTTTTGCCATACTAACATAATTTTAATTGGAACATTTTCACTCATCCTATTTTCTTTTTCAATATTTAATACTGATTAGCAATCTTTAACGCTGATACTAAATTGGAAGGCTTCACAGTCGTCATTCTGTCCATAAAACAAATACAATATCATCAGATTGCAACAAGATTACAATGTTATTGTATTTGCTGAGGCATAAATGTGCCCTGAACATCAGTTTTGGGGGTGCTGAGGTGGCGCAGGGATTAAACACAGCCCACATATGGAGGCTTATATCACAGGTTCAACTCCATCTTTCCTGTCAATTCACTGTCAAATAAAGGCCTCTAGAGCCAATGAAACCTTTTTTAAAAAATCAGTTTTGCAGAGTTGGAAAGCTGTGTCCCTGTAGGGTTTTTGTTGTTGTTTTCTTTAAATATAAGGTTGAGTGCTAAAAGTGGTGAGACGGGAATCAGACTAAATCTGGTTTAAATAAACACTTAGCCCGGCTTTGGAGCAAATTAAATTACTCAACTCCACAGGATGAGTCTGTCTATAACGCTTGATTTTTTAATCATTTTCAGCCCATCCAAGGAAAACACGCTCGACAACAAAACAAGCTGTAGTTCCTATTCGCCACCACTTGGTGGCACTGTTGGCCCGCGACAAAAAAAACACAAGCCGGTCCGCGCGCGCGCGTTCTCCCCCGGCTGAGCACCAGCAGGGACGGCGCGAGCAGGGACGGGATTTAAACCAGAATTAAACAATAAAAGCTTCGCGTTTTGGCAAAAAGCGCAAAGGAGAACAGCGTCTGCACCGAAAAAAAAAATAACTTGCGTTAACAGATCAGACGCTTCGTCTGAGAGGAAATTTGACCCGAGTTCATTTCGAGGATGTAATGCATTTCTAATAGCCGTCTGGGAGGGAAGATGCGCCGCAGGATTACAGCGACAAATGTCAAGCGCGCCCGACTCGAGCGCAGCGCGACGCCGCGTCCGGTGACAGCTGGATGCGCACTGCGCTGCGGCTCAGGCGGCGTCAGACGCAAAGTGTTGCTCCAAATTCAAATAGGGCAAACAGCGCACGCACCGTCCCGCTTTATTCTTAATAATAATAATAAGAATAATAATAATCTCGATGCAAACAATGAAAGCTGCAGGAAACGGAAACGCGTCCAGCTCATTTTTGGCCACCAAGAGACAAATATTCGCAGTGGAAAAAAACCCAAAACAAAAACAGCGCTCATACCTTTGATTTTGGAAAGATGAGCAAAAAGCAGAAAAGTGAGGCTTTCTACTTTGTCCCGCTTCACATTCTGCTTTTTAAAGAATATAATCCACACAGGAGGCGGCGACGTCTATTCCCTAAAAACGGACCAGAGCCATGCAGAAAGAGAGAGAGCGACAGATTCAGAGCCTTTCCAAGAAGAAGGAAAAAAAAAAAAAAGAGGAATCCACAGCCGCTCTCCGCTACTGAGCCTTTTGGACAAAGGGAACCATGCGTCCCGCTCGGCAGAGCTTCGGAGAAATAATAACCCTTTGCTTCCCGACTTCTTTTTCCTTTCAACGTGCCTGTTCCCGTTTATTCTCCCGTCGGGAAGTATCCTTGAGCGGTGACGACCAGGATCCCGGAGGCTCTGCGCGCAGAGAAGGGAGCGGAGCAAAGCGATCCAACAAAGCGCACGGCCGCTTCCCTTCAAGCAGAGGTGAGGCGAATCACAGAGGTGGAGAGAGAGAGAGAGAAAAAATAAAAATAAAAAACCTCACAAGCCCAGTTGAAGCTCTGTGTTCTGTCTAAAAAGGGTTCCCGACGATCACGGGCGCGCAGCAGCCTCTCCCCATCCGTTTCCAAGAAGCTGACAAACTCCCATTCATCCAGTGAGCGGCGGCTCCTGCTGCCTGCCTGCCCGCCCGCCCGCGCGGCCCCGGGTCCTCCCACTTCCTGGTTTCCAGGCGGACTCGGATCCAGCCTCGGCAGCGCTCCTTCACAGGATAAACACACTCGTGTGTCTGGGCTTCCGAAAAGCTGTGGCTGAATGGCGCACGGTGATCTTTTGCGTATATGGCGCGCAAAAGGAGAGACAGCAGAGCTCCAAAGGTACATAAGGACGCAAAGAGAGAGAGAGAGAGAGGAAGAGAGGAAGAAGGAGAGAAAGTGAGAGGAGGGGGGTTGAGAGAGTGGAGAGGGAGGGGAGAGCTGGGGTAGAAAGATATTCTTTCACTTGGTACAGAGTGAGATGATGTCAGCCGCTAATGAATTCCCCAGCAGGGTGCTGCTACCGTGAGAGGAGGAAAAACAAAACGCTCCTTTATGAGCAGCTTCCACCTCCTTGCAGCCCACAGGCGCTGTCTTCCAGTTGTATCAGCTCCCAGTGCTGTGGCCTGGAGGCAGGTCAGCGGGAAAATGCAAGAGCCTCAGACTCACTCAGCCTTCCCAGATTTGAGCTCTCCACGGCCCACTGTAACAAAAAACCTCCAGCTCGGAAAAACAGCAGATCCGGATCTGCCTCGGAGAGCTGGTGATTACTTGGCAACTTTGCCAAATCCTGGAGATTTGGTTTTTCTCAAGGTAATTCCACTACAAGAAGCAGGATCGTTTCTGGGGTCTTTCTTTTGCCCCCGTTGTTTCCACTGGATGTAGGGAGCCACGGCCAAATCAGATTACCAGGGTTGGAATCTGCCCCGGCATGGCGGCAGTGAGGTAATTGTTGGACAGACCTTGAACTACAGACGGAGTTTTGTGATGGACGGTGGAAAAACATTTCTTGACGGTCGATTATTCCCAGTATTTTGTTTCTGCTGCTCACAGGTGTAATCTGCACTTTCGGCTGCAAACATTTAAAAGCCAGCCATGTTCATAAAGTCATAAAATCAAGATGATGTGGGCAACATAAACTTTCATTCTCACACACACATAGATGCAGTTCTAATTCGCCTATCATGGATGTTTGACTAGAGCCACACTGTCTAAAAACCACAGAATCTTTGATGCAACTTAGAAAGCAGCGTGGAGTGTTAACTTGGCTCAAATTATCCTGACCTCCAAGCTCCATCAACATTTGGCAGTTTGGTAGATTTACAGCTTTGAGGGTTCTTCTTTTCTGCCCTGTTCCTTCTGCAGTCTAACAGCAGACTGTGCTGGGAAATCTTCATGGTGTAAATCCTTACATGTCATGGCTTGTCTAATGTGAATCAACTGGGTGGCTGGGAGGTCAATAAAAATTACAATAGATCCACACCGCAGATCTTCTTGAACAACTCCGAGCCACGACTCGAATCGCAAGCCGAACTGCCGAAATCAGATCTCACTGTTGTAATGGAGGGACGAAAATTGCGTCATTTTGTTCGTAACCCTTCGTCGTCGTTCGGTCCTTCTTGCCACAACATCCCCGTTGAACTTTTTGCGTGGCTGGTCAGAATTTTGTGCGTTTTTTTTTTTTTATGTGGAAAACAACACCCACCAAAACACTCCTCCTGTCCGGTTCTGGTCCGATGCAGCGGGTGAACATCCCACCGCTGCTTTCTGTTATTTTTGAGATGTTGTAGTTTGTCAGTTTGTCCTTATTTCCTCCTCCGAACTTGTGAGCTCATAATAATTTCTTTCTGCCATGATTACTGTGTTTACTACAGCGTTGAAAGCCACATATGGCAAAACATCTTGGCGTTTCATTTGGTGTGTCGGCTCGGTGTGTCTTGTGTACAGCGCAGGGTGTGTGTATTGATAGTCTGACTTTGGTCTGACCGTCCTACAGGTGTTTTAAGGTTGGCATCAAATACCATTAGAATCGATGGTTTCGGTCTTCAATAAGAGACCAGATGGACTCCGTCTCCTTGGTTTGTCTTGGCCTTGAAGCCTCAGGAAGACCAATGAGACATTCTTCTTGATGCTGGTGATGGATTGTGGAAACATCTTTGAGAACTCCACCCCGCTGAGGATTTATGCCTCTACATGCTCTAAATCATTTTCTACACAATTTGCAAACGCACTAACAGCGTTTCCATGCAATTAGACCACACTGATTCATATGTTTGAGGCTGTGATTAGGACGACACATCAAGAGCGCGCTGTGGTTTGGCTTCAAAAGGATGACAACAGTGTCTTGCTAATATGTATTTATGCGACTGCTGCTGACAGAAAATGGCTACCAGTCCTTCTCGGGCTTCCAGTGCAGCAGCAGCAGCAGCAAGGAACGGGCTGCTGTTCTCCATTTTATACGGTCATTATCAGATTTGAGAGCGACCACAAGTCTGTGATTACAGCCACACTGCCAAACAATTGGCGTCCGGCTCTCACACAGCGTATTAGTTTTAATTCAAATGAAATGCTGACAAAGAGGAGCACGCTCTCACTGAACAAACCAGAAGCCTGC